GCTGGTGCTGGTGGAGCCTGGGGCTGTGCGGTTTCCCCCCAGTTTCTCTCACAGAGCATCCCAGCTCGCCAGTGTTCAGGCACTGGCTGCATCCCCTGGGTACCATGTCCTGCATGGAACGGCCAAACGTGGGTTGTGACACTGGAACTTTCTGAGCTTATAGAGCAGGAGGGAAACCCCAAGCTGCTGCTTCAGCCTTTCCCTGCTGCAGAGCAGGACCAGGCTTTGCCAGAGCCCTGTTGGCATCCCCAGCCCTTGGTAGAGGTGATCCCAGTCGGGATGAGGGCACTGGGGCTGGTGCAGGCTCTGTGCTTGCTGTCCTAGGTAAGGTCCTGCAAACGGGAGGCAGAGCAATGCGTGGGGCTTGGCATCGCTGCTGGGCACTGGGGACACAGGAGAGGGCTGAGGCAGTGCCATGGTGTGTGAGAGCTGCTGGCCCATCACGTCCCATCCTGGCTGGTGCTGGGTGCAGATGCTGGAGGTCCCCGCTCCTGCCCTGCTCGGAGGCTGGTTCCAAGGATGCTGCTCCATCTTGTGCCATGGCCACCATGTGTGATGGCCCCATGGAGGGATCTCTTTGGCTGGGAGCAGGGGGTGATCCACTCCATGATGGGTTACCAGGGCACTGACTTCCCTGGCTCAGCTCCCAGTGAGGCACTGGGCAAAACTGGGGCATCCCAATAATTCCTGTGCTTCCCTTGCAGCCTGGAGGTGAATTATCCCATCACAGCTCCAGAATAACACCCCAAAGAGGCCACTGGTTCAGGGTGTTTGTATCCACATGTCCTGCCCTCATCCTGCAGCTCCCGATCCCACCAGGTAGGTGGGAGGTTGAGGCACCCATGGTGCTGCTGATGAGCTGATGCTGGGGGACCTGGTGGTGGGTGACCCTATTGCTCACCCTGAATGATCATAGAACCAGAGAATCATTTTGATTAGAAAAGACCCATAAAATGGCTGAGTCCAACCATAAACCTGGTGCTGCCAAATCCACCACTAAACCATGCCCTTAAACACCTCATTTAAGTGTCTTTTAAATGCCTTTGGGGATGGTGACCCCACCACACCCCTGGGCAGCCTGTTCTAGGGCTGGGCAACCCTTTTGCTGAAGAAAGATTATCAGTGACTCGAATCAGGCTATGGTGATGCTGAGTGCTGGTGGTGTGAGCTGATGTGCGGCCAAAGGCAGGGATAACTGGAGTGTGTGGCTGGGCACCGTGAACCCAACTTCTGTGCATGGTAAGGGATGGAATCATGGAATGGGTTGGGTTGGAAAAGGACCTTAAAGCTCCTCCAGCTCCAACCCCTGCCACGGGCAGGGACCCCTTCCACTGGAGCAGCTTGCTCCAAGCCCCTGTGTCCAACCTGGCCTTGAGCACTGCCAGGGATGGGGCAGCCACAGCTTCTCTGGGCACCCTGTGCCAGCGCCTCAGCACCCTCACAGGGAAGAGCTTCTGCCTTAGATCCAACCTGAACTTGCCCTGTTTCAGTCTGAATCCATCACCCCTTGTCCCATCACTACAGTCCCTGATAAAGAGCCCCTTCCTGGCATCCAACAGGATGCCTCTCAGGACCTCGGAGCCACTGCTGCTGTCTTCTCACTGATGTCTTTTTATCACCTGGCTGTGTTTCCTAGGCCAGACAAGGCCATTCCAAAGCAATAACTGCTTAACCCCCCTGCACCAAGGTGGGAGAGGGCTCGAGCCCCAGCTTGGCCCCAGCAGCCCCTGCCTGGAGCCATTGCTTTGGGGTGAAGTAAGCGTCCGCTTGCGTGCACTGCACTGAGTGGAAAGCTTCTGACGTCCCAGCCCAGCTGCTGCCGGCCCAGCCTTGACTCAGCAGGCTGGGAATACCGCGGTGACACAGGGAGTGCTGCTGGAGCCCTGACGTGTGCTTCCCATCCCACCTCCCCTGCTTGCATCTTCCCATCTTGACCTATCCCCCCTGGCCAGGGGACAGGCAAGGGCAGGAGCAGGGGGGAGCAGCTGAAAGGAAGGGATGGCCCCACACAGGAACCGGCTCCAGCTTCATCAGTGACCAGCAGCAATACCATAGAATCATTGAAGGGGTTGGGTTGGAAAGGACCCCAGGGTCATCCCACTCCAACTCAAGCTCCAAGCCCCTGTGTCCAACCTGGCCTTGAGCACTGCCAGGGATGGGGCAGCCACAGCTTCTCTGGGCACCCTGTGCCAGCGCCTCAGCACCCTCACAGGGAAGAGCTTCTGCCTTAGATCCAACCTGCACTGCCCCTGTTTAAGCTTGAACCCATTCCCCCCTTGTCCTGTTGTGACGGTCCCTAAAGGGGATGTGTGATAATGCCATGGGGACCGCTTTGGCTGGCAGCCTCTAAAGGGGTTTGGGAGCCTTCTTCCTGCTGAAATCCAGGGGGTTTGGGGAATTCTCCTGGCCATTTGTGGTGTCTTCCATGGACTCACTGTCCACATGATGTGTGCAGGGCTGGATATGGCCATAGGGAGGTGTGGAGGGTTCCCGATCTCTTAGACTGGATGGCTTTGAATGGTTTAATTCTGAAGCCTTGTTTAGGGGATGGGCCTCATCTCTGGAAAACCCTAGGATCTGCCCCACTTGTTGGAGGCATCTTCTGCCTTCCCACATGGACACATCTGCTGTCATAAGGGGGGCTTTGCTGAGGTTTTCCCTCATCCCACCCGGCAGTTCTCTGGTGTTGTGATTTCCTATATGGCAACGCTGGATAAGTGGGTAGACCTGATCCTTTTGGGGTACAGCAGGTTTATCTCTTTGCAGTGGGGTCCTGTCAGTAAATCCAGCTGAAAGATGACCATGCTGCATCTTTGGGGGGGTCTTGAATAACAGTGGCATGAGGAGGACCTGATCCTTTAAGGAAGAAAAGATGCTGTTTTTCTTTAGACCTGTATGTTACCTGAGAGATAAACCAAGCAACTTTTCAATGCTGTAGTCACCTGGAATTGAGGATCACAACCGATTTATAAGAAGAACCAGCTTCTGTATAGAACTTTTCTCACTGGACCAAAATGAATATGCTGTATTTCAGCTAAATCCTGCAATCTTTGGAGTTTCAGGCAAAGCTGCATTGATATTATTCTCACCAACATTACAGTGTTGAACCCTCCCCGCTGCCTGCAGGAGCAGTGCTCTTTGCTTTCAGGCCAAGGTGGAGGAATCACACTGGCGAGCATCTGATTGTATTTCATCTCCCTCACCCCAAAGTGGGGACCGAGAACCCCACTCCCATCCCCGACAGTGCAATGACTCAGTTTCTCCCTCCCCATCGTGCATCCACAGATGAACCCATTGTGGTGGTAACGCAACCTTTGGCTCCTGAGTGTGTCCCTTCATGGAAACCCTTTGACTTTGGACTTGGGCAACCTGCCCCATGCCTTTGTCATCTCCAACAGGCTCCTAGTGTTTCCGTGCTCGAGTTTGCTCAACACCCGATGCTCTGGCTGGCAACGTGTGAATAAACGAGATGCCTCTATAGCACAGTAACGTGGCCCAGATAAGTGTGGATGATAAACCGTGTTGATTCACTTGCCCTTAACCTCTGAGTCATCTTGTGAGTCAACAGAGGAAACAGCACCTAAACATCACCCAGCAGGTTGGAAAACTCAAATTCTGTTCAAATCTAGAACTTTGAGCAAAAGAATTACATTGGGGTTCTTTTCCTTCGACGTTTCAACCCCACACTCCCAAATGTAAATCAGAGAGAGGTCTGAGTGTTCATTTTCCTATGGTCTGGAGTTCAGGTGTTGATCTGTGTGTATTTGTTTCTAAGAGCTCTTTAAATTACTTTTTTTCCATCCATAATCAAAAGAAACCTGCTTTTTGGCGAAGTGTATTTGGTTGGAGCAGGCATTCTGATGGCCTTTGGGAAAGACACGTGGGAAACTGATGAGCACAGTCGATGGCTGTGGGAGCCTGGGGATGGCCTCCTGTGAGCTGAATGGAAAAAGACATTAAGACGTGGGCCGTGTGGATGCTGAGAGGTCAAGGAGGTGCCAAGATCATCCAAGATGGGATGGTTGGAGCTTATCCAACCGTTCTCTTTGGTGCCAGAGGCACCAGGGAGCCGAAGGCAGCTGGATGGGGACAGATGGATGGTGTCCCCAGCCCTCCATCACTGTGCTGGGGAGCAGGGCTGGCTTCTCTGTGCCAGAAAGTGTTCTGATTCATGACTGGAACTTTGACCCCTCCAAGCTGTTGCTGTACAGCCAGTACCCATCTGTGACCAGCAAAATCGGACAGAGCCCCATGTCAGCATCTCCTCCTTCAGGGAGCTTATCTCTCAGGCATCCCTAAGGCATTTTGGGGAAGGAGGAGCCGTTATTAGTCATGTTCCTGCTTACCAGTGGAAGTAATCGAGGAACATCTGGGTTACTGCATAGTTTTGGAGGCAACATACCCTCCCTGAGACACTGATACCATCTCTCTGTGTCCTGGCTTCATCCTGCTGCCAAATGCTGTATCCAAAACACCCAGGGGAGGAAAACTGTGGGGGTCAATGCAGGATTAACAGGGAGGATTGGGGTGAAGGGAAGGCAAGTGGGGTGCAGGGTCAATGGGGCAGCTGGGGGAGGACTAAGGGGGACAATAGGGAGGTGGGAAGCCCTTAGCTAGAGAGGTGTTGGTGCTTGGGGACAGGAGCCATGTCCCTAGAGAAAGGTGACCTGGCTCTGTCCAGTCCCGTGCGAGCCCAGGGGGGGTTGGGAATGGCAGGAGGGGGGCAGGACCATGTGCTGCAGCCCCATAGGAGGGGTGCTGCTGAATGTGCAGGTCCCGGGTGGCTATTCCTGGCGTCCCCGCCTGCGCAGGCAGATTGGTTTGCAGGGAGGTGACAAGTGCCAGCCAAAGCCTATAAAAATCCCCCAGTTCTGGCTCAGTGACCTGGTTCCCCCCACTCCCAGCACAGCCGTCCCGGAGCAGAGAGCCTCATTCCACAGCAGAGACCCCAGCTTCAGTGCCGAGATCCCACATCTGGAAGAGAGACTTGGTCTGGACCCCAAAAGGGAGCGGAGATCCCGGAGCAGAGACCCCCCAAACGTCCCCTTCTCCAGCCCCCAGGCTTTGCAGTGATGACCGGGAAAACTGCACCTCGAGCCACGAAGCCGGCTCCGAAGAAGGACACAGCCCCAGCCCCAAAGCAAGAACCAGCCCCAAAGCAAGAACCAGCCCCAGCCCCAAAGGAAGAACCAGCCCCAAAGGAAGAACCAGCCCCAGCCCCAAAGGAAGAACCAGCCCCAGCCTCTGAAGACCCCTCAGCCCCTGAGCATCCCCCTGCCACGGAGCACCCCGCAGCCCCTGCCGATGAACCTGCTCCTGTCCCTACAGCAGAAGCAGCTCCAGCCCCTGAAGAAGGCTCCCCAAGTGCTGCAGCTGAACCCCAAGCCCCTGAACCTGAGAAATCAAAGGGAGGTGAGGATGGGACCGGGCACTGGAGCTGGAAGGGGAGGAACACAGGGTTTGGAGGGGATGTGTGGGGCTGATGGAGGGAAGGGATGGAAGGGTGAAGTCATCAAGGCTGTGTCTGCAGTGGGATAGGGCTGGGGGTTATGAAGATGGGGGCTGGCAACCAACATGGACTTGGGTGGTTGCCCTCCACCAGCAGTGGTACTTGTGATCCTGTTCTCACCACTGTGGGTTTATTCCAGCGCCCCCCAGCTCCCCCTTGGCCTTGGCTGTGGAAGAAGTGAGTGAAAACTCCATAACGCTGACCTGGAAGGCCCCGGAGCAGACGGGCCGGTCACACCTGGATGGATACGTGGTGGAGATCTGCAAAGATGGAAGTAGGCTTGGGTTTTCCTGCTGTGTTATTGCAGAGGCACGGGATGGAGCTGGGCAGCACCCAGCAGCATCTCCCTGCGCACCGGTTCCCTTTCTTTGCCCAAATGGGTTCATTTTAAATGGTCTTTTGGTTTTCTTCCCCATGGAGGGGATGGGATTCCCACTGGTGTTGGTGTCTTTAGCAGGGGGCTGGACTGGGTTTAATGTCACTGCTATCCCCACCTAGAGGGTGGAGGAGAGACCAGCGCACCCACTGAGAATGCTCTCTGATAACTTCAGCTCTGCAGGGACCTGGGGTTGGGATGGTTTCTCCCATGTTTACCCAAAAGGAAGTGCAAAAAGAATGGGAATGAGGTGGGAGGATGAGGGACAAAAGGATCCTTGGGAAGGAAGCAAGCAAGCCCTGCCCCAGTGGGCTGGTGCTGGAGATGCCTGGAAGGAGGATGGAGGTGGGCTGGTGGGTGGCAGCAGTTATCTGTGGTTCTCTGCTTGCATTGCTCATTTGTGGAACAGGGGAAGTGGATTCAACTGGAGGTTTGGGCACCCTCTTGAAGCCCTGCCTGGCTTTGGGGTGAGAGGGAACGACCTGTGTGGCTGGGGAGGGGTCTGCAAGGGGAGGCTGTGGGTGGTGGGCTGGATGCTGCATGAGGATGGAGTGGTCTGGGAGACCAAAGTGGTCCATGAGCCTTGGGGAACTCGATGTGTGCCCCTTGGTGTTTAGCTTGTGGCAGGCACGATCCATACTTGCTTTGCTATGGGAGGCCTTCACCACTGGGCTGGGGACTGGGGAGGTAACCATGGCTGGATGGGATGCGCCAGGAGGCCCATGTGTGGGACAAGGAGAGATGCAGCCACTCCTGGAGGATGCTGGCTGACGGCCACCCAAAAGTCACGGTTTTGGATGCTCTCCTCGCTTGCATTGGGCTTGGCTGGTGACAGGAGAGCTCTGGTTGTTCAGTGATAACCACATGGGCTCCAGGAATGCTGGTACAGTGCCCTGGTTGGCTAAAACATGGTGAGATTTGAGTGAGGGCTGGTTTTGGTAAAGGGAAAGAGGAGCTGGTGGGATTTGGCTGGTCTGATGGCACTGACAGGAAACCCTCTTGGTTTGACAGTGCCCATGATGGCTTAGCACAGCCTGGCACACTGGGTTGCTTCAGTTGCCTGCCTGGGACACCCGGTCCTTTGGTGCCTGGGGCAGTCTGTTTTCTACCTGAGAAGCCTCCTAAGAGGTTTGGTGCGTTGGAAGGACGAGCTTCTGCCAGCATTTCCTACCCTGTGCTCCTCGGCATGGTGGGATGGCCAAATCCCCCCCTAAGATAAACCCTTCACCCTTACGGAGTGGGTTCTTCTCCTCTGGGGTTCACCCCTGTGGCTCAATCCTGCTCTCCATGGTGTCTGTCTGTCATTGCACGCCTGAAGTGCTCTGCTGCCTTCATCCTAGGTACGGACTGGACAGCTGTGAACCAGGAGCCTTTCCTTTCCACCCGGTACACGGTCCAGGACCTCGGCTCCGGTGACAAGATCCATGTACGGGTGAAGGCTGTCAGCGCCTGCGGTGCCAGTGTCCCAGCTACTCTGGAGCAGCCAGTCCTCATCAGAGAGATCCTCCGTGAGTACTGCTCCCGTCGTGTGTAATTCCAGTGGGCTTTGTCAGCACTACAGAAAGGGACCTTAGAGCTCCTCCAGCTCCAACCCCTGCCACAGGCAGGGACCCCTTCCACTGGAGCAGCTTGCTCCAAGCCCCTGTGTCCAACCTGGCCTTGAGCACTGCCAGGGATGGGGCAGCCACAGCTTCTCTGGGCACCCTGTGCCAGCGCCTCAGCACCCTCACAGGGAAGAGCTTCTGCCTAAGAGCTCAGCTCAGTCTCCCCTCGGGCAGGTTCAAGCCATTCCCCTTGGCCTGTCCCTACAGGCCCTTGTCCCAAGCCCCTCTCCAGGTTTCCTGCAGCCCCTTTAGGCACTGGAGCTGCTCTAAGGTCTCCCCTTCAGGATCCTTCTCTTCTCCAGGCTGCCCCAGCCCAGCTCTCTCAGCCTGGCTCCAGAGCAGAGCAGCTCCAGCCCTTGCAGCATCTCCATAGCCTCCTCTTCACATCCTCTTGTATTGGGGGCCACAGAGATGAACCCATTACTTGGTCCATCCCTGCAGCCTGAGCAGCCTCTGCCCTCTCACAGGTTGCAACCCAACCTTTGACCAAGGTGCTCTTCTCAATAGCCATGTCCAGTTCCCTTGGTGTGGGATGGAGAAGCTTCCTGCCCTTGAGACATCGATCACGCAGGTGGCAAAAGCTTTAGGGATGAAGGGCTCAAAAAGCAGAACCACATCTTCCAATGGGAAGCACATCTCTCCTTGGCTGTGTTTACATCTCCAATGTGCCATCATGCACATGTTGGGCAGCTTTGTTTAGCGAAGGAATGTCAGGAGCTGGTAGTCTGGAGCATGGGAACTTGAATCATGCTGAACTCGCTAATGACTTGCTCCCATGCTCTGCAAGACTCGCATTCCTCCTGGGGTGCTTCCGATGTGCTGAGCCATGATTTCAAGGCTGGGTTTCACTTCTCAAACAGGAAATGCATGCTTATTTTCCCCTTACAAGGAGTTATTAATGCACAAGTTTTCCTATCAGTCAAAGAGCTTTCAGCTCTTCAAAATGGGGATAACAATAACAAATGTTATTCCAGGAACATCAGCTTTTCCTAGGAAAAGGCTTGGAGATGATTATCAACATCTGGAAAGGGTTCTGCAGGGTCCGTCCTCTCCGCCTGCAGGAGGAGGTGAACACGGGTTAGTGGTTGGTATCTGCTGCTGTGTTCACCTCCAGATCCCACAGGCATCTCACCATACCTTGAAACTTGGGGAAACTGAGGCATGGGGGACTGTCATGAGATGCCAGATACACAGCTCATGTTCCCACTTCCAGTCCTGGGCTGCACCCATCAGTTCTTGCTGCCTGAGCTTTGTCCTAGCCACATGCACCAGCTGAGAGGTGTAAAACCCAAAGGACCCCCCCCAACTTGCTCTTGCTCCATGCTAGTGGGGTCTTTTCTTCTCTCTTTGCTTTTTGCCTGCTCATACTCCTCATCAGCAAGCAGCATGCTCTACTCTTTCATTTCACTTGCAATGCAGGCCTGTGCTCACCACCTGGCTTTGCTGAGGAACAAAATAGCCCTCAATGTCCCTCTGCATCCCTGTGTCCCCCCTGGTGTATTGAGTGCATGAATCTTCTCCTCTGTGTCCCATCCGTTCCCTTTTGGTCTTCACATTGCACCTCTCCATGGTTCATTCATAGCATCATGAGGGATTTTAAACAGCAGTGCTTCCAGACAGCAGTGTTTCATACCAGGTGGGATGAGTGGGTTTGGGAAGTGGAGTGAGACACACAAAGGTTCATTGTGGGAGTCGTGTTCTTCAGGTTGCTGGGGCAGGAACGGTGCCTTCCCATCACCTCGGGCAGCCCTCTCCAGCCAAGCCAGCAGGAGCAAACACCCATCAATTGACATTCCTCCTCTCGAGGTTGGGTTTCTTGGCCCCGCTGAGATGGATGAGCCCAAGTGGCAGCATCCGTGCATGCATCCCTGCAGTGAATAGCAGCACGAGCAGAGGAGGGACCGTCTCAGCTGTCGGCGGGGCCATCTGGGACCGCTGGGCATCTCCCCAGCCCACCACCGCCGCTCCACAGCTGTTGAGCCATTGCTCAGCCCTGGTTTAATTCTGGCCGTGCCCCCTCCCCAGAGCTGAGCTCCAGCACGTTTAATCCAGGCACAGACACACAGCTCTTTTATGAGGGGCTCACGTAAAGCCAATGCCTCTCCGTTGGATCACCCGGTGGCGCTGAGCCGGTAGGGTTACACGGCTGCTATTTTCACCCCGGGAAGGAGACACACGCTCCATCAGCATTCTCCAGTGGGTTTTTTGCTTGTCTTTGTTATGTTCCCTTGGGGACGTTAGCTGTGCTTTAAGCTTAGGGCTTTCACAGCTTAACTGTGGATAACCACGCACCACCTTGGTCTCTCCATGGCCTTGAGTGAAGGTGGAGGCTTGGAAAGCTGTGTCCTTGCTGGAAGCTGGGTTCTCAGCCTCTGAAAAGTGTTTTCTGAGCTGGGGGAGAAATAGTTCCTAGCTGGGAGATGCTGTCCTCTGCCTTGCTGCCTGTAGGCTCTGCTGGGGCTCTTCTGGTGAAGCCCATGTTTGGCTTGGTGTCCTGGGTTTAGCAATAGCAGTCATTTTTCTCCTTCTTGGTAGCTGGTGCAGTGCTGTCGAGATCAAACTCAAAGCATTATAGAACCATAGAATAGTTAGGGTTGGAAAGGACCTTAAGATCATCCAGTTCCAACCTCCCTGCCATGGGCAGGGACACCTCGCTCTAAACCATATTACCCAAAGCTCTGTCCAACCTGGCCTTGAACACTGCCAGGGATGGAGCATTCACAACCTCCCTGGGCAACCCATTCCAGTGCCTCAGCACCCTCACAGGAAAGAATTTCCTCCTTAGATCCAATCTAAACTTCCCCTGTTTCAGTTTTAACCCATTCCCCCTTGTCCTGTCACTACAGTCCCTAATGAAGAGTCCATTCCCAGCATCCCTATAGGCCCCCTTCACACACTGGAAGCTGCTCTGAGGTCTCCACGCAGCTTCTCTTCTCCAGGCTGAACAGCCCCAGCTTTCAGCCTGGAGAAGAGAAGGCTGCGTGGAGACCTCATAGCAGCCTTCCAGTATCATTCACCCATAAAACCTTGAAGGAGGTGAATGGTCCATTGGGTTGGTGGTCTGGTATCTCAGGGATGGTTGTCATTCTGAGGTGCAGGCTGGCAGGGAAGGGGGCACTTGTCCAGGAGAAGAGAAGGAAGAGGGGTCTGTGTTTCTGGATGGGATTTCTTGATGGCCAAGCAGGGGGACGTGTGGGGTGGGTCAGGCAGTTGGAGGCTGTGATTTCCTTGGTTCCACAACATGACTTTGATGTCCCCAGAGCTCCCGAAGATCCGCATGCCCCGTCACCTGCGGGAGACCTACGTCAGGCATGTTGGGGATGCTGTGAACATGATGATCCCTTTCCAGGTAGGTGGACAGTTTGGGATGTAACCCCCCAGGCTTTTTCACTGCAGGGTAGCTTCTGCAGTGACTTTGATAGACGCTATTGACATGCCTGGGGCTGACTGTGGGCTGGCTTGTCCTGGTGCCCATGTCTTATTGACCAAGAATAGGAGATGGGATGGGAATTTCTGTCCCGTTCCTGCCTGGCCCCTGTTTTTCTCCTGCTGAAACATGCTGGCCAAGCAGGGGGAACTGAGGCAGAAAGCTGCCCCTGACATGAGGGCTATGTCCATGCCACCTGGGGAGCCTGCACTGGCCGTGCTCCAGGCATAAATTGTCCCTGGCTGCTGGATTCAAGCCCCTCCTGCTAGGCTTGAATATGCCTGGGGTAGAATTGAGTTGAACTTGGACTTAGTGCCTGAGAAACAGGAGCACAGCTCTGCCTGCCGTGCCCTGGGCAAGTAAAGCTGGACTTGCTCGGTGAGGACTTTTGGAGACCAGCACGTTCCAAGCATCATCTGTGGAGCCTTTGATGGATTCCATCAGTGGGTCCGGCAGGGCTTGGCTGTGATTTCTTCCCTGGGGACTGCTGGTTGGGAGAGGCCAAACCCAGGCCACTGCTGCCTGGACAAAGCGGGGTGGCTCTGCCCACCCATCCTTCCTAGCAGGACCCGCTGTGCTCGAGTGGCTCCTAACCAGCCCGTGTGGGTTGCTCCAGGGAAAACCACAGCCTGAGGTGATCTGGACCAAGGGCGGGCAGCCCCTGGACACCAGCCGCATCGCCATACGCAACACAGAGAAGGACACCATCTTCTACATCCGCGAGGCGCAGCGTGGGGATTCGGGCAAGTACGAGCTCACCGTGCGGATAAACGGAGCGGAGGACAAGGCCATCCTGGACATCCGAGTGATCGGTGAGGCTGGGGAGGGGACCATGCCGGGGGTTGTTTTTGCCCCTTGGTTAGGGGATAGTTGTTGTTTTGGGAGGGATAGGACAAGGCCAACAACAAGGGAAGGGATTCTGAGGTCCTTCTTCCAGTGGGATCTCCTCCAGGATCACAGAATGGTTTGTGTTGGAAAGGACCCTAAGATCATTCAGTTCCAACCCCACTGCCATGGGCAGGGACCCCTTCCACTGGAGCAGCTTGCTCCAAGCCCCTGTGTCCAACCTGGCCTTGAGCACTGCCAGGGATGGGGCAGCCACAGCTTCTCTGGGCACCCTGTGCCAGCACCTCAGCACCCTCACAGGGAAGAGCTTCTGCCTTAGATCCAAGCTGAACTTGCCCTGTTTCAGTTTGAACCCATCACCCTTGTCCTATTGCTACAATCCCTGATGAAGAGTCCCTCTCTAGTATCCTTGTAGCCCCCATTGAGATACTGGAAGGTAGTCATGGAGGTGAACTCCTCTGGTTGGGGATGGAGGATCTCTGCCAGCTCACGTCCATTGCAGCTTCTCATTCCTCATTTGGCTGCAGCTGGGTGAGAAGAGATTAAAAAGTGATGTGCAAGGGATGGTCAAGGGGCGTGCAAATTGGGATGCCACTCTATGACGGTTTGTGCTTGCAGAGCTGCCGGGCCCCCCCCAGAACCTCAAGCTGGTGGATGTGTGGGGCTTTAACGTGGCCCTGGAGTGGGCCCCCCCAGCGGACAACGGCAACTCGGAGATCAAGGGCTACATAGTGCAGAAATCAGACAAGAAGAGCGGGGTGAGTCCGTGCACTGGGGATGCTCTGATGGCTGCGCACCCCTGCCTCCCTCCCTGTGCCTTCTCCATCCCTTGGCCAGCCTGCCTTTCCTCACCGCTCTTCTTTCACCCTCCCAGAAGTGGTTCACGGCGCTGGAGCGCTGCACCCGCACGAGCTGCACCATCTCCGACCTCATCATCGGCAACACCTACAGCTTCCGCGTGTTCGCCGAGAACGCCTGCGGGCTGAGCGAGAAGGCGGCCGTCACCACCGCCGTGGCCGACATCAAGAAGACAAGTAGGGGCAGTGCTCTGCCTAAGGGCTTGGAGGTGGTGGTGGTGGGCAAGAAGGGTCCTGTCCATGCCTGCGGCTGGTGGGGCTTCCTGGGGTTGTGGGGATGCTGTTGGGTTGGGCCTCAGGATGAGTGTGGAAGGGGTGAGTCTGGGCATCCCCTGCCCTTGTTCTATACCTCCTTTCTGCTCTGGAGAAGGCTTGTGCCATGGTTGGTTTGTAGGAGGGATCAAGGACATCCCTAGGGTGAGATTGAAGCAGGAGGGGTGAAGAACGACCCTGGCTTTGGCCCCGTAGCTCAAGACCAGCAGTGGTCCAGCTGAGGGGTCCAAACCAGCATCCCTAAGCCCTGCCCTCCCTCCATCCGTTTCCATCCTGCTCCCTGGTAGAGCACACAGTGAGGTCTGGTCTCTATCACTCTATCTCCTATGCACTGAATTCTGGGGATGGAGTGGGAGATGCAGAGCGGTGCCTGGCCTGGATCTGACACCCTGCACACAGCATGCATCATGGTGTTGGTTTGCAGACTGATATCTCCCCTGGCCCATGCAGGGACTGGTCACTAGCATGGCATGGTTGAATGAGGAGGAGATTATAGACAGGATTGGTCTGAATTGAAGGCTGCGTCCCTGGGTCAGGCTAGATGCTGTCTGGTTTGGGTTGGAAGGAACCTTAAAGATCACCCAGTTCCAACCCTTACTTGAGGGAGCAGAAGTATTTTGGTGTACCTTGGACTGAATCCTTGTGGCCATGCCCCATGTGGTCAGCCCAGGAGCTCTGCTCAACCTAGGATTAATTACTTCCTTAGAAACTGCTTACCAGTCAGAGAAGATCCCCCAACGGGACATGATGGAGCCTCCAAAGTTCACCCAGCCCCTGACAGACCGAACCACGACCCGGGGCTACAACACACATCTCATCTGCTGTGTCCGGGGCTTCCCCCAGGTCAGTGGTTCCAACATGGGCAGCATCATCTCTGCAGGTGAACAGCCACCAATGGGGGTGTTGAAGGGTGGATGGAGGTGTTGGGAGACAGTTGGCCATGTTGGGTTTGGATGAAGTTGGGGGGCTGCAGCTGCCCTCTAAGTCAAAATAAGGCGAATGTGGGATGTTTCTGCGTAGAAATAAGAGACTGATCTTGATTCAAGCCATGTCCTGTTTCCTTCTGCACTGGGGGAAGAAATGTGGGGCAATTTTTAGGGCTCAAGAACGGGATATTTAGCTCTTCAAGCTACTTCTGACAATGAATCCCACCATGGCCACCAGCTTCAGGCAGGGCTGAGGCAAAGGGAGGTGGCTGCATTTTGGGGCCAGATTTCTCTTTTCTCTCCCTGCTTTAAAGAAACAAATTCTGCTGCTTTCAGCCCAAAATCATCTGGATGAAAAATCAGATGGAGATACGGGAAGACCCCAAATACATAGCGATGATTGAGCAGGGCGTCTGCTCCCTGGAGATCCGCAAGCCCAGCCCCTTCGATGGGGGCATCTACACCTGCAAAGCTGTAAACGCCCTGGGGGAAGCCTCAGTAGACTGCAAACTGGATGTGAAAAGTAAGATTGGCTGAGGCGATGGAGGAGCTGTTCTTCTTGCCTGCCTTTTCCTCTTCTGGCTTTCGCATTGCTGTGGTTTGTCCCTGTTTTGTGTTGATCCTGGTGATGGAGGAGCCTAAGAGCACTGGGAAGCCCTGTAGAGGTGGAGTTTTGGGCTTCTTGGGTTTATGGGCTTGAAGCATCTTGAAATCACCTTCCCTCATACATGGCCAAAAGTTGGGGAAGAAACCAGAAACTGCAGAGCCAAAGGACCTGAGGTGCTGGTGGAGGCTGGGGCAGTCGCGTGCTCCTCACTGTGCCCATCAGCACTTGTGTCCCAAGCCATGCATATGGGGACTGTGCTGAACCCCTTGCACTTGGCACCTGGGTTGTTCTGATTTATGCCTCAGGATCCTGCCCAGACTTTCCAGCTCACATTTCCCTGCCTCAGCAGAGTTCCCAGCACAGCCTTGCATGGAGGTGCCCTGCTTTGCTCCCCGCAGATGCCTTCTCTTGTGTGCTCACCATGCAGGAGGATGCATGCCCTCCACTCTACACGTGCTCTTGACGTGGTGGTGTGTCCTTAAACACACATCATTGTCATTATCTCTCCTCCTGTGGCTTGCCCCAAGACACACTCTGCCCTACTTCCCAGGCAGGAAGGGCTCCAGTCTGTCAGTGCAGCCATGCAGGCAGCAGGGTGAGGTTGGCCAGGAGGATGTGCTGGGGACACCCCAGTTGGGATCCTGGGGGCAAACTGTCCAGGAGCAGGCAATGACAGTGGTGTTTGTGATTGCTCGGAGCATGCGTGCACAAGTGCATGTTGGTGTGCACACAAGTAGGTTGATAATGCCCTGGCTCGCTTTTGGATGTCAAAAGGGGAGTGAAATGAAGGGAATTCAGAGGGTTTATATCTCCTGTGCTCTCCTACAGTGCCCCAGTGAGGACAGATAGGAGGGCAAGATGAAGAGCAAGGTAGGTCTGGGTTGGGGCTATGGGATGGAGGGAGGGTGAATCACTTCAGTAGGGATGTAGAGGGGTCGAGTGTCCTGGATTAGCCCTTGTCACCAGTTAATGGAGCCTCCAGCTCCATCCCATTGCTGGAGATGCACTGGTGGGGTGGGATGCACAGAGCCTGGGTGAAACTTGCTCCGTTGAAAGGTGGGCTGTAAATGTGGCCATGAGGATGAAGATGCATATAGAGACTGGTGTGCATGGGAGATGCATGGGCAGCAGGGCAGGCAGGGCTCAGAGAGCTGGGGCACCAAGGGGTGGATTCACATGAGGACAGGTACAGGGGCTGGGGGCAGCTATGTAGTGGGGCTGCAGGGTGGAAAAGCAGAGTTAAAGGGAAGAGCTGGGCTGGGCTTGTCTTAGAGCCATGACTGGGACGTGGTTTCCCATCTCACCCTTGACCACTGGTCTCTTGGCAGCGGTGCCTTCACAGGACTCGGATCTTGTTCCTTTACCCCAGGTGGATGCTGGAGCTGCTCTGCGGTAGCGTGGTGCATGGTGATGCTCCTCTGCTGGCCTGCCCCATCCCTGGCTGTGCTCTGGGGGATCCTGCACTGGCATGGTCCTCTCTCAATGTGTCCTTAGCTGTGACAATAAAACAAGCCCATCTGAGGGACTTGGGTCCTAATAAGGAAACCCAGATGGCTCTGCCCTGCTTGTTGTGGGGTTGGCTTGGATGGGGGAGGCAGAGGGAAAAATGCTGCTAGGGATGCTATGGGCTCATATAGCATCCCTCTGAACCGCGGGTGGAGGAGATGGGTTTTGAGCTTGGAAAGAAAGGACCAGCTTTATAAAACACATATGAATCACAGAATGGTTAGAAGATCATCTAATTCTAAACCAGAAGCAACCCAACAAGGAGGAGGGGCTGTGATGGGGAAAAGTTTCCTTCTGGAGCTGGGGAATGATTCTGGCTGGACGGGGAAAAAATAGGAACATCAAAACTGTGTCATGATGATGCCTCTTCATCAAGCACAATTTCTTTACCCACACCAGCGATGCAATGGTGCAGCCATGTGCTGCCACCAGCATCCCATCCCTATGGTGTGAGACGGTGGGAGCAGGACACAGTGATGTGTTATTCGGAGGAGGAAGAGGAGGAGGAATGGACGTGTTTAGCTGCTGCTCGCTTGTGTGCAGAAGGATGAGCTGTTACTTACAGCTTGGAGACAGCTCGGGTCAGACACTGTTTGTTCACAGAGAGCCCAGACAGAGCCATCAACTTGATGGAGCACATCATTATAGAGGGGTCAGTGCGGGGTCCACCTCCTGCTCCAGCACCACCTCCCTCGAGGGGTGACAGAGGAGCTCTCCCAGGTCCATGACCAGCTTGGTCATGGAGCCAGACATGGATCCTGCCCTCAGCACATCCCAGCAAGCTCTGGTGCCGCAAATGTGGGTGCAAATCCAGCCCAAGCATCCTCAGACCTGAGCTCAGTCCCCGCCTTGGTGTCACTGGTGAGCAGAGACAGGCAGTGCCTATGGCTAAAATAGAGGGTTCCTCCTACAGCCCCTCTGCTTTGGCCCCACCTTTGTGGTCTCCGTGCCCAAGCTGAAGTCCAAGAGGGTACTGCTGTTCCCAGGGGCTCAGCACTGTGTGCACCAGACATGGTTTCCACCATCAGAGGGCATTGTTGGATTAATTTTCCCCCTGTAAGGGGTCAAGGGGAAAGTTGGATGCTCGCTTATGGAGGTGGTTGGGGTTAGCGACGATGCCATCAGAGGGGATGGAGGTTGTGGTCCCACCAACAGGACGAGAGCATGCTAACACCCGGCCATGGACACTGATGAGGATGTCCTTGTCCCCTCGATATCCCTGGCATCTTGGCACATAGGAGCCTGGGAGAACAGGGGCTGGGAACAGGCTGTGTTAGATGTGGGTTTGCAAACACAGGGGAGAAGCAGCATCTCCAAGCCTGTCTCATGCTGCACACTCTGTCCTTTCTAGATTCTTAATATAGTTCTATGAGGCAAAGACTTGCATTTGTAACCCCAAAGGGGACCAGGGTGGGTAACAGCATCCACTTTTAGTGAGCCCTCCCTGGGTAAGGTCTAGAGAGCACAGAGTGGAAAAAACCACTGGATGTTTATTCCTGAAAGCAATCATTCACTTGCCTTTTAATTTATGAGCATCCCAGTTGTCAGCTTTCTGGGCACCTTAGCAAGGATCAGGCAAAGGCATCAGTTCCAGGAAATCAGCCTCTTGCAGAAATGCCAGGGGGAATCAGACCTGTGCTCAGTAAACAGCAGCCCTCATCCAGGGCCAAGCTACTCCTGTGCTAAGGACCATTGGGCTCGGGGTCCTCCCTGGGGTTGCAGCATCCTCAGACACTACTGATAAAGGGTTTGGGGTTCTTCACCTCAAGGAGGCTGGGAGAGTGTTCAGGGCACCTCTACCACAATGAGACCCATTCACTCCTGTCCTTGCCATTGTTCTTCTGCCCCACTCCCATTTTGCCCAGTATACTCTGGAGACAGGAGCTGGGATATGATTGAGGCCTTTGCAAAACGTGGGAGGCTGAGCTCCTTATCTCCTTTCTTTGCTGCCCTCCTCTTCCTCTCTGACATGAAGGAACTCCCTCAGGCTGAACAGAGCTGGCTGCAGAAGTGGGCACAGGGGGCACCCATCAGCCCCATTGCCCATGCTATACGTGCACAGCATCGCTCTCTGGAGCTGGCTAACAGGCCACCCATAAATCTCACCCATTCACGGTCCTTTTACTCCTTGCACCCCCTCCCAGCCCCTGCAGGGACTTGCTGCAGTGACTTGGTGACGTCCAAGGGGCACAACGCTCCTGGGGCAGGGTCAGGGTCATAGGGAGTGAGTTTCCAATGGGAGGCTGGTGAACAAGGGATGCTGATAAGAAAAGAATTCAAATTAACTCAGATTAACTCTTCCTACCACCTTTTCAGCCTGGAAGAGATCCTGCTGCAGAGCAGAGACCAGCAGTAAGGCTGCCAGCATCCGTAGGGACCACAGGGCTCCTCAATGCACCCTGCCCATGGCCGAACCTGCGGCAGACACATGGAGGTGGGAAGGTGTCCCTGTGGCAGCATCAGCACCAACCCTGTGGCTGTAGTTGTCTCCTACTTGCCCCCACATGGGTGCAGGTTCCTCTCTGCTCCTGTGGACCATGGAGGTGGCTCAATTATAACCCACAAAGTGTGGGTCAAAGGAGTTTGGCAGCATAGGGAAGGTGGTAGGGAGCAATGTGGGAGAGATGAGACAAACAGGGCTGGGAGAGACTTGCTATGGCTTGCGCTGAAGATAGGCAGGGTTAGAGAGGGAAAACTGATTCAGAGCCAAAGTAAAAGGAGAAAGAGGACACATGAGGGGACATGGGGTTACTCACAGGGCTGTGAGTGCTACTGGGGACCATGGGCACCAAAGGGCTCTTCTTGAGTACTCTGAGTTATGCTAAAGGTTTTTCTTTCCCCTCTACCTACCTCTCTGGTAGCATTTAGAGTTGGAGGCTGACCCTTTGCTCTATGGGGTTTGTGGGTTCATCACCCTGTGGGTGCTGGTGTTGCTATGGGATGCCTTTTCCTATCTCTTCCCTCACCTGTCCCTGCTTATGGATAGGAAAGAAAGGGCTTGAAAGCTCCCAGCTCCAGAGTTGCAGATATCGCATTGCCCTGGGCTCTCCTGGTTCTCAGCAGCTTCACTCCCACCAGGGCACCCTTTTGCCCCATGGATGTGGGGCCCAGAGCGTGCTTTGCCCCCAGCATCACCCACTGCCGCGCTCCAGGGAGCCGGAGGTCTCCATCAATGGCAGAGGACCTCCTGGGTGGTTTTTATCATCTTACTTTATTTGCATGAAGATAAACTGTGCCTTTGTCTGTACAATTTCTCCTTAAATACTTGGCAACCGTTAAAAAAAACACCACAAACCCTGAAAAACAAAACCAAAGAGAACAAAAAAGAAAGGCGAGGAACAGTGCAGGCTATGATATCAAACCAGTGAATAAATAACCCCCTGGGCAGCAAGGGGGGGACACAGGGCTGGTGAATGCAGCCCTCCCACGTCCTCACTACCCCTTCCCCTGACAGCAGGGACCAGGCTTGGCCATGGGGGGGACCCCTCTCTGCTCTCTCCCAGCTTCAGTTGCCCGTCTCGGCCGTGGTGGTGGTGCTGACGTTCTTGTTGGTCTTGCAGCAGAAGTACTGGTTCCAGATCTGCAGGAAGGCTGTCCGGAACTTCTTGATCCTGAAGGCGTAGACGATGGGGTTCATGGCTGAGTTGCCGTGGGTGAGGAAGATGGCGATGTAGGTGAGGATGTGCGGTGTCTCACAGGACGGGCAGAACAGGGTGATGCAGTTGAGGATGTGCAGAGGGAGCCAGCTGAGGGCAAAGAGGAAGAGGACCAGTGCTAACGACTTGGCGATCTTCAGCTCCTTCCCATAATACTTCTGGGGGTCGTTGGAGCTGGAGGAGACCTTCTTGTTGAGTTGCTTGCGGATGAGGTTGAAGACTTCCAGGTAGATGAGCAGCATCAGCACCAGGGGAGGCAGGACCCAGACGAAGAAGTTGAAGTAGACCATGTACTCCATGCTGATGACGGTCTCAAACTGGCACTTGATGACAAACTGCGTATGGGTGGCGTTCAGCTCCTGAGTCCTCCGCATCTTGTTCAGGTTGTTCCAGCCGAACATAGGGGTGAGTCCCACCAGAAAGGAGACAATCCAACAGCAAGCGATGGCCACGGCCGCCCGCCGGGGCGTCACCACGCTTTTGTACCTGTGCAGGAGACAACAACCACAGGAAGGAATCAAACAGGAGCCACACGCTCTGCCTGGGGGCCAAGGATGCTCCAATGAGGCGGCTGAGATGCCACCATGCTCCTCGCTCCCATCCTTGGCAAGCAGGAGCAGCTTGGCCTGACAGACGTGTTAATGGACTGGTTTCCCTGTGTGTGCCCTGGGGAACCTCACCCTGTCTCCCACCACAAAGCCCCCTCCCCAGCCCCAGGGATGGGCACAGACCTCAGCCATGATCCTGGAGCTCTGGGGGTTGATGCCAAGCCAGGAAATGCATTAGGAAGCTGAAGTATGCGTGTTCAACCCTCATATCTAGGGGGGGGTCACAGTGCTCCAACAGCCCACCTTCCATCTTCCATCCATCATCCACACCCGGAGCAGCATTCCCCCTTTCCTCCCTCTATGCACCAGCCCTACCACCACCCTGCCCCACACAATTCCCCCTGCACTGGGGGGAGGAAATCACCAGCAAAAGCATCCTCTGGGACCCACGGGGCTGGAGGAAGGATCTGCTGGTACTAATGGAGCCCTGGGGAAGGCTCTGGGCACAGCTTGTCTCATTTCCTAAAGTGCTGGGCTGATCAACCAAACCCTCTTTCTTAATGGGCCAGTGCCAAGAGATGGAGGAGAAGGAGGAAGAAGCCATGCTCTGGCTGGGCTCTGCTCCCTCCCTGGTGCCACTGGGGAGCACGATGCGGCTGGGCTCATCTCCCCAGAGCTCTCCATGCGGGAAGTGGAGGCTGCTGGTCTGATTTTCCCCCCTGGTCCTCAAAGTAAAGCTTCTCCTCAGAGGCCAAGCAGATTTGCAGCCCAAGTGCTATTGCTTTCCACCGGAGGGGATTGAACAAAAGGCATTTTCTGACTGTTTGCTGGGGTTTTTGCG